GCAAGACCCTGTCTCAAGAAAGAAAAAAAAAAAAACTCACATCTGGAAGACACACTTTCTGATTCCAAAGTTACTACAATGCCACAGAAGTTAAGACAGTGCAGTGCAGATACTGTCATTTACTAAGTGGACCTGGAACTTTTTGGAGAAATGGCTCATTCCAGGGCTGGAAGAGAAGAAGTATAGGATGAGCCTGAAATATTTTATTATGACAGAAAAAAAAGAAATGGTCAATGAATGATGGCAACACATCAAAAAGACAAAGGAAGGAGTTCCACATCTAGGTATGGGAGATTCATTGTTACCAAACTTGCCTTCCTGCCATTAAGACCTAAAAAACTGGACAAAACATATGAAACAAAGTTCTTAGACACTGGACAATAGACAATGCTAAACTCTGATTTTTTTTTTTTTGTTTGGTACCAGGAATTGAACTCAGGACCTTGAGCTTTCCTGGGAAGCGCTTGTGCTACTGAGCTATATCCTCAGCCTGCTAAACTCTGATTTCTGAGAAAAAGAAAGAAATGAGGTGAGCTTCATCTCTTAAGGGGCTTGCTCAATAGCAGTATAGCAAGAGTATCACCAAAGGAGCATGATAATTAATTTAGGAGAGATCAGAGATTGAAACAGCTGAAATGTCCAGGGAACAGTGCTGGAGAATAGAGGTTCCCTTGAGTCTTTGGCTGACTACTAATCTATGCCTGCATATGGTGTAGTTGTAAGCTCCTGAATTCTCAGAGTTCACACAAGTCTCAAGTTCTTACCAACCAAAGTAGCCAGCCTGGGCTACACAGTGAGTTCAAAACCAGTTTGAAGTACATGGCAAGACTCTGTCTCAAAAAAGAAAAAAAAAGGGACAAAAAGACAGCCAGGCATAGAGATGCATTCCTGTAATCCCAGCACTCAGGAGTCTGAGACAGAAGGATTGCTACAAGGCCAGCCTGGCTACACGGAGTTCAAGGCCAGCCTGAACTGCATAGTGAAACTCTGTCTCAAAAAGACGGAAAAAAAAAACAAAACAAAACAGGACATTAGAACTCCATGTTCTACAATGGCAGAAAACAAATTCTTTTCAGGTGCACATGCAACATTTATCAGAACAAAAACAGTACAAAATGTATTCTCTGATCAAATGGAATTAAATTTGAAAACAATAACAAAAAGATATCTGGAAAACTCCCACATATTTGTAATTAAATATGTATCCCTCCCTCTCTCCCTTCTTCTGTTTCTCTCTCTCTCTCTCTCTCTCTCTCTCTCTCTTTCTCTCTCTCTCTCTCTCTCGTGATAGACTGAATCTAGAGCCTCACAGATACTAAGCATGCATTTTACCATGAAAGTATACCCAGCCCATGGATCAAAGGAGAAATCATCAGGTAAACTAGAAAATATTTCAAAATATCCTAATTAAAATACAACAGAGCCAGGCATGGTGGCACATCTCTATAATCTCAGGACTCCTGCTAAGGCAGGAGGATTGCTGGGAGTTTTGAGGCCAGCCTGGGCTACAATGTGAATTCAAGGCCAGCCTGAACTACATAGTGAAACCCTGACTCAAAAAGACAAAAAACAAAGCAAAACAAAACAAAAAACCCCTCACAAAATATAGTAAAATACATGGGATGTAGTTATATCAGTGCTTCAAGAATATTTATACCTTTAAAGTTTCATATTACAGAAAAAGGAAATCAATTATCCCAGCTTCTACTTTAAGAATTTAGAAGCCAGGTATGGCCTGTAATCCTAGTACTTGGGAAGCTGAGACAGGAGAATCATTGTGAGTTCGAGAGCAGCCTAAGCTACAAAGTGAGTTCAAGGCCGGCCTGAACTGCATAGCCAGACCCTGTCTCAAAAAGACAAAAGAAAAGAAAAAGGATTTAGAAAAAATGAGCCAGGCATAGTGGTGCACGCCTATAATCTCAGCACTTAGGAGGCTGAGGCAAGAAGATCACTATAAGTTTGAGGCCAGCCTGGGTTACATAGTGCGTTCAAGGCCAGCCTGGGTTACGTAGCAAAACACAAAGTTAGAAAAAGGGCAACACCTAAAATAAATAGAAAAATAACAGAAATTAAAGAAACAGAAAATGGACAATGGAAAAAATCAGTGATATCAAAACTGATTCTCTGAAAACAAAGGGAGTGAAAACCATAAATGAGAGCTGGGGATTTAGCTCAGTGGCACAGCGCCTGCCTGGCAAGCGGAAGGTTGTGAGTTCGATTCTCGGTACTGGAAAGAAAACAAAAAACAAAAAAAAAAAGAAAACCATACATGATTAAAATCATGATTGAAAGAGAATACATCACTACAGATCTCACAGACATTAAAAGACAACTGAGATACTAAATATTTGAAATCATTCAATATACCTCTTCAAAGGAATATTTTTCTACAGTATGAAGAGCATCTTGTGTCTCATTCCATCCTCCAATAGCATAGATGCAGTCATTGAGTGCAGCCACACCAAGATACGCCCTCCTGGTTCCCATTGGAGGAAGTGGAGACCAACGCTTAGAAAGTGGATCATAAACTTCAAAGGAACGAAGCTCTATTCCTTCATTGCTGATTCCCCCAATTACATAAATTAAACCTGGAAATGGAATATGTTTGCTCAGATACCACAGAAAGTAAGATATGATAACTAATAGATGTCATCTATGTTTGCTGAGCTAATGCTATATTCCAAAGCTTACAATATTATTTATAAAAAAAAAATCAACTTGTGTCTGTATTAGCTTTAAGAACATTGCAAGCCAGGGATATAGCTCAGCAGCACAAGCACCTGCCTGGCAAGTGCAACGTCCTG